CATTATGAGTTCATAGTGATGCCCTTTGGACTAACCAACGCGCCGGCTACTTTTCAACGTTGTATGAATGACCTGTTTAGACCGTGGTTAGACAAATTTGTGGTAGTTTATCTAGATGATATTCTAGTTTTTAGTAAGACCCTCCAGGAGCACCAGGGTCATCTGAGGCAGGTCTTGGAGAAGCTTAGAGAGGCTAACTTCAAGATCAACGCGAAGAAGTGCGAGTGGGCCAAGACGCAAGTCTTGTACTTGGGCCACGTGTTGGACGGAGATGGCATTAAGCCAGAGGACAGCAAGATCGCGGCGATTAGAGACTGGCCGACGCCCCGCACACTAACAGAGTTACGGTCGTTCCTAGGCTTAGCTAATTACTATAGGAAGTTCGTGAGGAACTTCTCCACTATCGCCGCCCCCTTGCGCAAACTGCTAAAGAAAGAGGCAATCTGGCAATGGGATAAAGATTGTACGTCTGCGCTCAAGAAGTTAAAGCGCGCGTTAATAGAATATCATGTCCTCAAAGTAGCAGATCCATCCTTGCCATTTGTCGTTACCATGGACGCGAGTCAGTATGGGATAGGCGCCGTGTTGCAGCAAGATGACGACAATGGTTATAGACCCGTAGAGTTCATGTCAGCGAGGATGCCCTGTGAGAAGGTTGCTACCTCCACGTACGAGAGAGAACTCTACGCTCTCAGGCAGGCTTTAGACCATTGGAAGCACTACCTGCTTGGGAGGCACTTCAAAGTCTATTCGGACCATGAAACGCTTAGATGCTTGAAGACCCAAGCCAAGATGACACCTAAGTTGACCAGGTGGGCCGCAGAGATAGACCAATTCGACTTTGAGCTCAAGCCAGTGAAGGGCAAGTATAACGTGGTTGCGGATGCTCTAAGTAGGAGATCAKACTACTTTGGAGCTGTAGTACACTATCTGGATATAGGGAAAGACCTGCAGGAGAAAGTGAAGCAAGCGTATGCGCAGGACCCTATCTATAGCGACCTCCTAAAGAGAGTTAGAAAGGCTCCAGAGACCGAACCAGATTACCGCACTACAGACGGATTGCTGTTTGAGAAGACTAATGTGTTTGACCGCCTSTGCGTCCCCAACAACGAGGAGATTCGTAGTCTGATCCTAGGGGAATGCCACGATACTGAGGGACACTTCGGTTGGCAAAAGACATTAGCCAATCTAATGCGCGCGTATACCTGGCCCGGAATGAAGAATGACTGCATAGAGTATGTTCGCAGTTGTAAAGTGTGCCAAAGGAATAGGTCTACAACACGCGCACCCCTAGGTCTTCTCAGACCCTTGCCTATTCCGGATCAGCCGGGAGACTCAGTGTCCATAGACTTCATGGACACCCAAGTCAAGAGTAGACATGGTAAGAGCCAAGTCATGGTCATAGTTGACCGTTTTAGCAAATATGCAGTTTTCGTTCCTTTGCCTGCAGAGGCACATACGGACTTAGTTATACAGAGTTTTTTTGACTTTTGGGTTAGTGAGAATGGAATCCCATTGTCAATTGTTAGTGATAGAGATAGTCGCTTCACCAGCCAAAACTGGCACGAACTCATGAGAGTTTACGGATCTAAGTTGTTAATGTCATCTAGCCGTCACCCAGAGACTAACGGTCAGACAGAACAGATGAACAAGATCCTACAGCAAGTTCTGCGCATGTACATTAGACCAGATCAGATTAACTGGGATGAGATGTTGCCTAAAGTAGCTAGTGCATACAACAACANAGACCCGATGGAACGAAGAGAGAGGGAGGAGGAACAAAAGTTAGCGTGGAAGTTGAGAATGAAGAGGGAGAAGAAGAGGAGGAGAGAAGAAGTGAATAAGATGACCGCCGCAGTGGCAAAGGTGCAGGAGTGTAGAGCGGAGGTGCTGGCCCAACCAGAGGATAAGGCCAAGTGGGACAAAGTACTGGGCTATTTAGAGGTGTTGAGCAAGGCCTGGATGGAGGAGCGCCAGGCAAGCTGGAGCCAGGATGTAGCGTTGAGTGCCATGCGGTCAGGGTTTAGAGATTTCGCGCGCGAGTTCGTCACCCATATTGGGGGCGAAGTGAAGCAATTGAGAGATAATGTAGGGAAGTTTTGTGAGGGCGCCATTCAGGGTGCCAAAGCTGCAGCCGCTGTAGAAGGAGAGGCCAGACCCCGTAAGGACCCAGTGAAACTCAAGTTCCCAGATGCGTACGGGGGGAAGAAGGAGGAGAACTTTGACAACTGGGAAGCCAGTGTCAACAGGTATATTTACTTGCAACATATCCTAACAGAGGAGCAAGTCCTCGTGGCCTTCCAGGCCCTGAAGGACGAAGCGGCTAGCTTCGCCAGGTCAGTCGCGCGTACAGCTGGTTGTGAAAACAACCTGGTTGCATATTCCAAAGTCACTCCTCTTTCCCAATTCCTCAAGCTCCTCAAGGAGCGGTTCGCTGACCCAACGCGAGGCATTAGAGCCTCTGATAAGCTCCAAACGATCCACTCGCGGCAGTGGAGGAGTGCTAAGGCACTCAAGGGTACTATGGACGACTTGGTAGCCGTCCCGGACCACGGGGTCAYTGAACCCCAGYTGGTMCAGTTGTTTTATCGTGCCATTCCAGAAGCCCTACGCGGGCATTTCTTTGACAAATCTCAGCGAGCCGGCATGACTTACGATGTATTGAGTAGAGAAGTCGTCCTGTATTAGTCGAAGTCTATGCCAGTTACCACTTTCTGGCATAAGGACCTGGAGAAGGGGAAGAAGTGGAAAGATCGTACCATCTCTGGCCAAGTTAAGGCCAAGGATCACTTGATCTTGACATTAGAGGAGGGTGGTACGGAAGAGGTCCCATATGATTAGATTGAGTGGGGACTAGGGGAGGAGTACAGTTGTGTAGGGCAGGGGAGGTCTTACGCTGCTGTCGCGGCCGGAGGGAGGCCGCAAGGTAGAGGAGGAGGCCAGGGCCAAAGGGGCCAGGCCATGGGAGGCCGAGGACCGGGCGCACAGGGGGTTGRYGGAYWSGGAAACCGCCAAGCGGGAGGTAGGGGTCAAGGTCCCCCGTTAAATCGCCAGGGTAACCGGTCCCCACAACGAGGAGGTGGAAGGGCACCTCAAGGAGGATGGCATCCA